AACAGCACAGTAGCCACTATGTTGTAGTAACCACTTCCCATGATAAAATCTTGCATAGATATATTAGCCACGCAGACTCCAAAAGAATTTTAATGTAAATAGCTGGTTTCACAAATACCACTCTGTAAAAGATGAAACGTTTCCAACAGTCAGGTGATTTCTCCCTTCAGAATCATCTACATTACAGCCACTACCTGCACCGTTTCACAAGACCATACTCAGGGTTTTTCAGAAACAATTAATGATGAAATGCCATGGAAAAGGTAGCAAATTCACGGAAACCTCTATGATCAGACAAGCAGGACTAAACACATAGCTTTGGGCAGACGTGCCAAAGTCTAAGAGTGCACTTTCCAACATGTTTTGCCAAAATGCAGAGACAACAATAGCAAGAACTTTTGGGGACTTTCATAGATGTTTAGCATTAGCCTTCAGATTTCAGCAACGCCAGTTGCTTGCTGCCTGGAAATACAGTCCTTAAAAAGAGACTCCATCCGTGGCATCCAACAGTTCAGCTCAGTGAGAAGGCACCTCATCACTACTGCTCCCCTTTTGTCTGAACAGCAGGTGGAATTTCAGCACCTAATTGCCCAGATGTTGAAACACCTCTCTATTCAACTCATTTGCACATTTCCTTAAAAGACACATATTTGCCTATTTTATTTGAAGCTCCTGTAGTAACAGAACTAAGGAATCAATCTCTCTAGACCAAGTCCTTGATCTTTATTTAATGGGCTATAGAATTAAAGTTATTAGAAATTAGAGGGGGAAAAATCTAGAAATGGACCAAAGGTTCCATCCTCATTCCTATTCAGTCCCTCCCCCACCCCCAATCTTGTCTGCCCCAAATGGACAAACCTTGAGATCTCAGGGCTGGTGGAGAACTTTCCTCTCCTTGATCTTCAGAGCAGTGAGGTTCTGCAGCTGAAGGAGAGCTGCAGGTCAAAGACTCAAAGAGGGGAGCGTGGTGACTCAGCCGGGGGCGGGGCCTCGTGGGAAATCCCCAGAGACAGCGCTGTGAGGTAGCTCACTTGGTATTTGCTGACCTTAAAGTCCCCCAGAGCTTCTGTCGACGACGCTTGATAACGCACTTCAAACGAAAAGCAGCCTTCTGCTGTTAAGACATTGTTCAGATGACTTTGGCAAACAAGTTTTGTCACTTAAAGTAGTTTCTCCATGTCAAAGCTTTCAACGCACCCTTAAAATATTTGGGATTTGAGGGATGAAACCCCCTTCTAAAGAAGGATCAGCACTCTTGCCACACACGACCCCTTAACCCTATCACAGTAGTGATGCGCTCGCTGTAATTTATTGAGGGCAGCTGGGGTACTAGGCATCAGATAAGCACTTTAGTGAATCCTAGCCTCAAAAGAACCCCAGGAGTTGATATGACAATGATGATGATGATGATGATGATGACGATGATGATGATGAAGACGTTATGCAAATAAGAATACTGAGCTATGAGTCTAGCCAGATTATCAGCAGGACCGGGAGCCGGGATTAGAACCAGCTGTGACCTGGCGCCTTCTGACTGTGCTCCATGCTGAGCAGGTGAGAGGTGGGGAGGAGGAGGAAGATGTGGAGGGAAGTGGAGACAAAGGAAGCACAGACTGTATATGGCAGGGTGACGCCGTTGGGTAAAGTTGAGATCTCTGAGGGCATTTTAGAAAACCGTTGTTTCCAATTAAAAAAAAGAAAGAAAAGAAGAAACAGGAGGAGGAGAGAGAAGAGGAAGAGGAGGAGGAATCTTTCAAGACGCTAAGAACGCGTCCTGCATTGAGTGGCTAAAGGCCCCTGAAGAAGACAACCAGGGCTGCTAAGAGCAAAGGGATTTTGACTAAAACAGATGGTTTCCCATTAAGATCCAAACAGAAAAAAGTTATTTTTCCAAGGGCGGCTTGGTCTTGATTTGGGGGATGAAGAATGGGGAGGAGGGAGGTACTGTTTATTAAACACTTGCTATGTGCTAAGCCTGTTACATGTCTCCGTGACTCTGCTGTGCCTCCATCCTCCTTAGAAACTTTCAGGGGCTCCTTGTTGTCCACCAAAGAAAGCCGGGACCCTAGAGTCCAATATTCAAGGACCTCCTGGATCTGACCTGAAATTGCCTTAAAAAAAAAAAAGGTAGAGTTCACATAAAGGTCATAATTTTAAAGTGTACATTTCACTGGATTTTAGTATATTCACCGTGTTGTGCAATCCCCACCAGTATATAATTGCAGAATATTTTCATCGATCCATAAAGAATCCCCAGACCTGTTAGCGTCACTCTCCAATCCTCGCCCCCCTCTCCAAGCCCCTGGTGACCATTAATCTGCTCTCTGTCTTGATGAATTTGCCAGTTCTGGACATTTCAGATACACAGAGCCACACAACATCTGGCCTTTTGTATTGGGCTTCTTTGACTTACTATAATATTCTCAAGGTTCTTCCACGATGTAGCATGTATCCATACCTCATTCCTTTTTTGTGACTGAATGATATTCCATTGTGTACATTTACCCCATTGTGTTTATCCATTCGTCAGTTGACGGACATTTGAGTTGTTTCCACTTTTTGACTATTACAATGATATGGCTATGAAGACTCGTGTGCAAGTTTTTGTACAAACACATGTTTTCAGTTCTGTCCAGTGTCCACCTAGGAGTGGAAATGCTCTGCTGTGGGGTCACTTGGTCCCTCTTCTTGAGGGATCACCAAACTGTTTTCCACAGTAGCTCACAGCATTTTACATTCCCACCAGCCGTGTAAGGGTTTCAGTTTCTCCACATCCTGGCTACCACTTCTTAGTTTTCTGTGGTTTTTTTTTTCAACTACAACAAAAATGTTTATTATAGCCATTCTAGTAGGTGTGAAGTATCTCGTCGTGGCTTGGATTTGCTCCCATGTCTGATATTTATCAACCCCAATGGGGATAGGAGAGTACAGCACGTGGTTAAGAGCCCCAGCTTTGCTCCCAGGCTGATTTAGATCCCTAGGTTTGATCTAAAGCTACTCTGCCACTGATGGTCGTGCAACCTTGGGAAAATTTCT